TATTACTATGTCATACAAATACAATCTATAATCTACAAAATTATAAAATAACTACTCTAAACAAATTTCGGTTTAAATGAAAACTGTGTATGTTAAGCCTTCAATCTGATTACACTCTAACGTAATTTACTACACACACATAATGACAGCTCAAAACCCAAATGTTAACGTCATTTGAATTGCCTAAATATTACTCCTTAAAACATGTTACTATCGAAAGATCAAGAAGTTTCGATTTCGAACRTTTACAACAAATTATTATAGTGCAATGAAATTATATAGTTTTAATATGGTAGAATTTTAGATAATAAGTTATGACAGTAAATATAAATAGAATAGTAATTATAAATTGTAACAAAACGTTGTAATTTTTTTATGTAATACTAATACTCCAAATAATTTTACTAATTTTTAAGTATTTCAACTTCCCTGCCCTAGTTATAACTTATAGCAGCGGTTCCCAAATTGCGAACTTCTAATACATTCTAAGGGCGTCACGGTTTATGACTCATAATAAATGTAAAGAATTTTTTTTTTAATTTCATATTAATGAGTACTTTTGTATCCTGTTTTTAAGGTATTCACAGCAGAGCACCATTGCTATATTTAGTCCAAAAAAGGGCACCACGAAAAAAAGTTTGGGAACCGCTGATTTATAGAAGCTAAAGATTTTATTGTTGATGTACCTACCTCTCTTTTTTATCTTGTTTCTATTAAATAATCCTTCTTCTTTATTTGGTATTTTGGTTACTACCTATATCATAAAAAAGTATCTATTATTAATCTATAGTTTTTCTGAGAGCACTGCTAAGAATGCATAGTTATTTTTTTATCTACAGCATTTTCAATTCACTTGACTATAATATGATTATTTTCAAATTGTCTTTTTTTGAGAAATATTATCAGTTATCACCAATAAGTGGCATCATACTCTAATTTATCTGAAAACACTAGTATCGAGATMAAATCGAGTTTCAGTTAAAATGCACAAAAATGAAAATCGTTCAATAAATTGATGCATTAAATGCCAACTTGTTTTAAAATATCTAATGGTATATGTAAATAATATAATATGTAGCCATGTAGGTACGAATTGGTGTTTATTAATTAATACACCGATGGCCAATGAACTTCAAACGTACACAGACGTCTAGTGGCAATCGATTAATCGAGTCACACGATCACCACACTCTGACCATATAATTTAATTTTTGATATTATAATACAGTCAACTCGCGATATAACGAAATTCGATATAACGAATAAAACTACCTGTATAACGAACAAATGTAATGTATTTATGTCCCCTCGATGTAGCGAAGCGTTTTTGATCAAAACTCTCGCGATGTAACGAATTTTTATAAATTTGAGCTTTCGATTACGAATTTTTAATTTTAATTAAAATAAGATACATGTGACATGTCTCTAGTGTATAACTCTATGAAAAATATATAAAAATAAGTATGTTGCTATTACCACATAATAGATTACGAAGTTTTTCTGATGATTATCATGCGATAGTACCTACACTCAACTACTCAAGTACAGTATCGCAATTAATATAAGACATATTATGTCGATTAGTGGCTCTACGCAAAATATAATATATTTTATACATATGTATACGAATAATAAAATTATTAAATAAATATATACATACATATGTATTTGCATTTTATTGATTTAAATTTTGAATTTTTGTTTTAAATCTCGTTATACCGAATTCAACTGGTGTATTATCTTGATATAACGAATTTCGATGTAACGAACTTTCGATATAACGAATTTTTTTCTCGGTCCTTTGAAATCCGTTATATCGCGAGTTGAATGTATTATCTTATTACACACAGACGCTTATTTGAAATCGAGTTTCACGATCACCAAACTATAATTCATTTTCTGACGTACACTATTTAAACACACACAATAATTAAAACTCAAAAGGTAACACTTTATTAACAATTTTGACCAACAGTGTTTTCAGTGACTACATCAAGTGATCACCACTGAAGGACCCCCGTTTTTCCAATACTATTCCTTTTAATTCCCTTGTCGAATTACTAATTTATAGTATTGTAGAAGTAAAAAATAATTCCAAAAGTAATTATGCTGTACAATATTTAGTTGGGAACTCTAAATGTTCTAATAACTATTGCATAGGTGGTTACTTAAAAGTTAAAGCGGCTATAGCTTATACTATAAGCCTTATAGTCATAAAGGTACAGGGTATACTGACTATACCGTTATCATTAGTAATGATGAATACATCACAATATTTCAAAATGTATTGAATTTTTTAATGATTTTCATTTAATTTATTAAATAAAAGTAATATACAAAACACAACTATACAAGGAATTAATTTTATACTCGGCAGATCAGGCTTMACTCAGTTAGTTTAAAAATTAAAATGAATGAAGATTAAGTTATACAAAAAATTTACAACTCGTTTCAAAATTAAAATATAGTAAAAAGCACATTAAGCCGTCTAAATAATATTCTTACCTTAAAATTTTAAGAGGTTTATTTATTCTACACTAGTTTTTGAATTAACAAAGTTAAATGAGATCTGCAGAGCATAAAATTTACTGTGATACCCACTTATAAGACAGTGACAACACATGYGAGTATAAGGCTCTCTTAAGATGCGGGTAAAGTTCACATTTACTGCAGCAATAACCAAATGTCTAAGTTATTATAAATTATAAATATCCAAATTTTAGTTTTCAGTATTTTGTACATAAATGTACTTACTCAACCAAATATTACTATGGATCAAAAAACACCACTAAAATATTTTTTAATGCTCAAGCTGTCAAATTCCATCAAAGAATAAAATAATTTTAATTATCACTAGTTATAATATCCTAGATAATAAATTATATTTTTACTGCAAATGAATAAATCAATTTTAACTTTTTATTTTGATTAATATTGTTTAGGTTATTATTCATATAGTAATTACATTACAATTACTTACATTACATCATACTTTTTGTTGGTAAAAATAATATTAATAAATTGACATTAAATGTAATTAAATAAATCATTTTTCATTTAATTGAAAAATACAATAAAAAAA